AAGAGAAAATTGTTACATACCTACAGATGGTCACTGTTTTATCAAATCGTGTTTTGAACAAATATTTAACGTGTAAATTTCAAGAATTCATCAACGGGTTTTCAAAAGCAAATAGAGTGATGACTTGTGCTAGAATCAACGAATTCAACAAGACATTTAACACTTCGTTTCAAATTTATAATCCCAAAAATAGACATTTACATCCCAGAGACGTACACGATGAATTAGATTGGGTTTTTTTTTACCTTCACAACTCGCATTTCTGTCTGATAAGAAGAAGCCAAAAAGTTTGGGAATTCAAGAAATAGAAGACAATTACAACAGGTGTGGAAAACGTGTAGAGACGATTACCTAACTCAAGAAGAAAACGAAGACTGTTTCAAATGAAGTTAAATGAAAATTTCTTCTTTGCCAAAGTCTATGAACCTGTTTTTACCGTCTTTGATTTCCAGATTTATATCTTTGATCATGAATGAGTTAAGTGGTAAATAGGTCGTTTCAAACGGTTTCTCTATAATTCTGTATCCGATCGGCACCGCAAAAGTCGTTATACTGTATATGATTTGGCGTTTGTGCTTGTTGAAAAATCCACCGTTGATCAAATTACAAGGAATGTTGATTTTTCAAATCATTGTTAGCGTTATTCATCACCTAAATATATATTTTTGCATTTTTCATCATAACTTTCATCTTACTTTATATATACCCAAACTCAGTGTGACTTATTTGCAAAATCTGATCCCCATATTTTCACGCTAGCATATACAGTTTCCTCCTGTTACATCCGCTGTACATTCCCTCTCTAACCTCAAGTTATTTTCATTATGCTCCCCAACTACAACAGCCACTAGGAAGAAGCCAGAAATAGAAACACTAATCGGCAACCAAACCAATATCACGTACCCTACAACGGCCCTGTCTTCCATCGACCTCTACCACCTACCAATCGCCGACCACCAACCAACCCATCCAGCTATATCCCACCCCATCGCCGACCTACCTACAACACAGCCTACCAATCAAGAGGTAACCATCGACCTGACCAACAACAGAAACGACTACCAGCCCACCGACGCCAACCAGTCCCCACTCATAAGGAGGGAAGAACCCTTTGTGAAGGTGTTCTTCCAAGTTTTGCAGTGCCTCCATCATTTGGCAATCCTTACCCTTCAACAGCAAGGCCAACCAGCGTTTACCTTCAAACGCAAAGTCTCTGAGTTGGATAATGTTATCCGTCCAGCAATGAAAACATCAGCTGTCGACGCGAATATTAGATCCCTCAATCGGACATGGCTCTGTAAGGTTACGCAGGTCCTGATCGACCATAACCAAACCACACTTCAAGAGAAGCTGACCACCATTCGTACCAAGTCTTTATCATCACCTGTCGTCGACCGCATCGTTTCTCATACCCTGTCCTGGGCCCGTCGCTCCTATGGGAAACGTCTCACTCAAGCTGTAATCTCCAAATTCTACAAAACAATCAACGAAACAAAAAACAGAGTAACCATATCTCTACCAACTGAAATGGACACTACACCTGCACCATCTAGAGCCACCACGCTGCCGAACCAAACCCCTAAACGAGCCCGAAGTTCACCTACTCCTAGTCCAGCAGACATAGGTAAACGCTCTCGTAGAGAGGGCACACCCCTTCTCTTTTCACTTTCAGACTCGTCTTCCCCTTCCACACCATCTGAATCTTCACCACGTGATCCAGGATCCGCCAACCTTTCTTCCTTCTGTGAGTTTTTGGACCAGCAAACCACCCCTCAGTCTCCATCTAAGTCGAGACGTGTATCCAGACCTTCCCCCCCTCGAACCAGATCCCAGTCCGTTCCCAATGCTACAATTCTAACAACTACCAAACCAGTACCAATCACACCGTCGACGACCATTATATCCACTACCAAACCGTATTATCACCAAACCAAGGACAAATCATTATGGAAACTACCTGCTCTAAAGAAATCTACCTTAATAATTGGATCATCTAACCTGAATCGAATTACCAAAACCAGTTCAGACACCGAAATCCATCACATACAGTCAATCCTGGAATCATACGACCATGATCCCAAACCTACTACCTTTATTCTTCATGTAGGCCTCAACAACCGTGATCAGATACCAAAGACCTCCTTTAACCAAGCCCAGAAATTAATCGCCACAGCCAACAAAACCTCCCCAAACTCCAAGATCCTCTTCACATGTATACCCATTTCAAATAAAATCTCGAAGAAAGCACAACAGAACCTCAGCACTCTCAACAACATGATGATGGAGTCCAGTATCAACAGCGCAACAATCTTACCACCCTACGAAGAAGAATTCGAAACAGTTGATAATCTTCATTGGTCTCCAGAAACAGCAAACAGCATTTATTTGTTTTGGATACACCAGCTTCAAGCATCGAGTAAGTCTTTAAACTAATTACTGGGGATAAAAATACTGAGAGGCCACCACTTAAATGTAGTTAACTTGAGCCGCAAAATTCTCACACCCCTTCAGCATTCAATCTTAGACCGTAGACTTAAATTTATTCCCACACCAAAGATAGCTAACTTGAATTATCTTCGACCATCCATTGAACGATTTCAACGAAATCTTAGCTGCACATATTTTTTTTCGAAACAATGTTTATTCCTAAATGCACGTGGACACCCCCTCAGGCCGCCATCCATCCTGAAATATTGAAAGCATTTGCGAGTATGAATAGCCAAACAGTGAACCTTTCCATAACACACGAAAAGCCTAATCTCACACGAGTAGAACGTGAAGCGTTAAACTTACTTAAGAAAGACGATAGCATTGTTATTAAAAAAGTGACAAAGGTTCATGTTGTGTCATTCTGAATAGGGAGGATTACGTATCAGAAGCAGAGAATCAACTGAATAATCCTAAACATTATGCCATTTTACCGAAACCAATTTTCAAAGAAACTGCTAACATGATTAACAATATTCTTGCCGATTTAGTCAAAACTAGTTATCTCAAACAGAAACAATATGACTATCTGTCTGCCAAACCTGATTGTCGCGAGAGACATTTGTACACTTTGCCTAAAATCCATAAGAATCCAACCAAGGAGTGGTTTAACTCTAATAAAATCCCTAAAGGTCGCCCGATTATATCTCCCTCTGTGGTAGTGAGTCATATGCAGTGTCAGAATACATTGATCATTTCTTACTACCTCTAGTATGTCAACATCGCGCCTACCTTAAAGACACAACCGATTTTGTCAATAAAATAAAAAATCTTCGAGTTCCCTCTAATCCCTCTATCGACGTTTCTTCTATGTATACCAATATCGATAACACTACTGGTTTAACGGCAGTTCGTAAAGCTTTTAATAGAAACCCAGATCCAAACAGACCCGACGATGCAATTCTACAGCTTTTAGAGATTTGTCTTAGTCGAAACGATTTCACATTTAATGGTAAAACATATTTACAAACTTCAGGGACAGCAATGTGCAAACGATTCCCCCCTTCGCACGCAAACCTTTTCATGGCAGAGTGGGAACGTGAGGTGTTGCCTCTCTGTCCATTTGACCCACTTTTTACGGACGCTTTTTGGATGACATTTTTATGGTTTGGACTTATTCTATCGAACAGTTTTGGGATTTCTTTGAAATTCTCAACAACCACCATCCTTCTATCAAACTAACCGCAAACGTGAGTGACAAAAGCATAGACTTTCTCGATACCACAGTCTTTAAGGGAGATTCCATAGCAGAAACAAATAAACTGGATATTAAAGTGTATTTCAAAGAAACTGATACTCACCAACTCCTGCACAAGAGCTCCTTTCACCCAAAACATACCTTTTCTGGTATAATAAAGTCACAAGTTTTACGATTTCATCGAATTTGTACAAGATCTTCTGATTTCAACCAAGCCTGTACGATTGTTTTCTCAAACTGAAAGAGCGTGGGTACTCTAAACGATTTTTACGAAACATAAAAAATTCCACATTGGCACAGATAGCAGCTAAAAACAGACTTTATGCCGAAGTACCTCCAGATTTAAGAAGTGCTCCATGTTTGTCCAGTAGATGCAAAACATGTCCCTTTATATCAGAAACTCATTATTTTGTAAGCAACTCTACGAATAAAAGGTACCCGAATGTAATATATTTAATTTTATGCAAGCAATGTCCCAAACAATATGTAGGAGAAACTAAGAATAATTTACGAACTCGCTTTAATGCTCAAAGGTCAGACATCAAATTAAAGAAAGACAAGCCTGTTTCTAATCATTTCAACCTCGACGACCATTCAATAGACGATCTCACCCTAATCCCAATTGACCGTATAGAAATTGACTTGCCCGAAGATGAAACTACCAAATTCCGTCAATCTAGGGAAGCCCATTGGATTGAGACATTGAATACAGCAAAACCTATAGGACTAAATATTCATCATAATGTAGGCATAGCACCCTTTGTTGTCCCGTTTAATACAACCAGCAATCGAGCAAGCAAGATAGTTCATGCCCACTATAAAAGCCTTATATATATTATTTCCAATAATCTAACGACTCCTTCTTTATCTTTAAAGGGTTGGTACTATTTATATCATTACAATAAATAAATGGTTTAAGAAAAATGGTATGAAAGTACTAGAATGGTTCCGAAACACACCGGCTTATAAAATCCATCTATTACGTGAATAAAATTATTCATTATTTTTTTACTGTGAGATAATACGAATGACCCCAAATGACTAGGTGTTAGTCGTGTAGATTTAGGAGGTGTACAGTCAAATTCTTTTTCTTCTTCATTTATCTCAACGATATATTGAGTCTCGTTTACTTTAGGAAAGCTTTTGACGTGTGAATCGAAGTTGGTTTTTAAAGTTGCTTCACTCCATAGATGTCTCGATGTAGTTATATCCTTCTGAATAGATTTACCATACATTGAATTACCTACTAATTTCATACAATTACTACCTACGATATTACCTTCTCGTTTATATTTATTTCTTAGATCTCTCAAAATTAAAATATAATCTCTAAATTTTCTTCGTATACTATACCATCTAATATTCTAATAATTCGTCCACCGGCTTTAACTATTTCTTGAATATCAACCGATGTTAAAACTTCTGAACAGAAACCATTTCTGAAGCTGATTTTAGTGAAAGTTTCCTTATTACCTTCTTTGTTCGTAAAAGTAATTTTATCTTTAGCCGGTATGGGTTGGAAGAACATGTTGGTAGGATATTTAAACCAGACTGTTAAAATAGCCGTTCTAGGTCTGAATTTCTGCTCATTAAAGAGCTCATCAAATTCTTTATTTTCTTCCGGTAGAAACGGTCTACCACTTTCCGCTTTAGGATATTCGCTGTCTAATTCCGACATGGCGGAAGCGTACAAACCGTTAGCATCAAAGGCCATTAGTTTAGTACATTTTATTTTTTTAAGTTTTGAATTAACTTCCGTTTTAACTTTTTAAATTTTACTATATTCTTTAAATAAATCAATTATATTATCACTTTCACTAAACCCCTTTAATACATTACAAATTTCATTCGTTTTATTCGTTTCAAATAATTTTCGATTTGCCGAAACTCTTCCTCCTTTAATGGATTGTCTGATAAAATATCTTATAAAAGGGCGTGAGTAAACTTTTTCTACGTTTTCTTTTTCGGTTTGTTTTGGAATCATTCTAGTAGTTGCATACCATTCTTCAACCATTTCTTTATGGTAATGATACAAATAATACCAACCCTTTAAAGATAAAGAAGGAAATACAACTTCATTCATTTCTTGTTATATTTTATCACAAGATATAACGTATCTCTTTTAGCGTAAGGTTCCCATTCGTGTCTAAAAGATTCCCAATTATCTTTGGTGTATTTTGCAATATTGATATCAGTGATTTTTCTCAAATTCATCGGTAGATTAGATGAATTTACCCATGCCGCCAAACTAGATTTTTCATGTTGATAGGAATGCCTCTAGCTGTTACTAATGGACATTGCGTTAGTTTTTTCGCATTTTTAAGCACGATCCAGTTATCCCGGCTACCGGTATGAGAAAATAATGTTAATCTTTTTTGATCTATTTTTCCTAAACGTTACAACATTTGATCGATGCAATCTTTACCCACAAATATTCCTACTATATTTCTTTTTCTGGTACACTATCAGTGGAATTTAAATTTGGAAAGTTATGTTTTATTCTGTCTAACATTTTTCTTAGTTTTTCTAAATTAATTAACGTGCAAGAATAAGGAATGGCTTTATTCGTTTCTTTTTCGCTATAGGTTTCGCAATCCCATGCGTATAAACAATCATCGTGAATTGTTGGAAAACATTTAGTTTTAGAGTTGAAACTTGTGTTACCGCATTATCATCTCTACAAGTTCTCCTTACGTTTTCATCGTAATTATCTTCTATTTCTTTATTGCCTAAGGTTTTGTTATTTCTTCTAATGAGACAGAAATGTGATTTATGTAAGTAAAATACCCATTCTTTCTTTGGTTGAAAGTGTCTATGTTTGGGCATATAAATTTGAAAATAAGTATTAAATTTCTTATTGAATTCACAGATTCTACATTCTTTTGTGTAGTCTTTGTTCAAAACACGATTTACGCACTTTACAAAGCAGTAACAATTTATACCAGCATATTCATTTATCTTTTTGAGTAGGGTGGTACCACTACCCTTTTTTGATCTTTTATTTCTTTGAAATTGTTTCTATGTAAAATGATTTTTCCTGAGAAATACCAATCAGAAGCATCCGATTTTACATCCATTGTTGCGAAGAAATTGTGAAAAGTTTTGGCATTAAAGCCTACAAATTGCATGTTTTGTTTGTGTCCTCCATCTTGAATTATCTCTCCATCTAATTCAATTTGCCCATTAAATGTTATAAATTTATCAGAGATAAGCTTAATAACACTGGAAAAAGCACATTTGATATGAATGTTTCATCGTCTAAAATTTCAATTTTATTCACATTTTTTACGTATCTATTTTTTAACTAGGAATTTTTCACTTTTATTGATGATATTTCTACATCAAATTTATAAAAAATTTCATTGAATTCTTCTAATTCTTCAATGCTTATGTTCTTATCTTCTCTCGATCTTTCGAAAAATATGAATAATTTATTAAGATATATATTTAAAATTTCTGTTTTCTTTTTGTAATGAGATTTCTGTTTTGATGTAAAACCTAAAATAATCAATCCACAAGATGAAGTTTGAACGGCAGTGAACGCGGCTAATACAGTTGGGACAATTATTGGAAGCATTAATCCACCGGTTACGGCTGTTGCCACCGTTATCCCTACGTTAGAACTGTGCTTAATGTTTTGAAAACAGAATCAATTCTACTCCATGGTTTTCTACATTTGTTAAAGTGTTTTAGTTTTTCTTTTAGTTCGTTTTGTTTGTCTATCATATATTGTTGTCTACTTTCGAGTTCCATTTTTAGGTAATTAAATTAAGTGAACTTCTGATAAAGCAAAAGATGGAAAGTGTTTAACATCTACAATAGGTTGCCCAGGAAGATGTCCAACAGGTAGTATTTTTTCATTATCTTATATTATTATCATTATCTTATATTTGTTCTTTCGAATCATTAATCTTATTTATATGAACTGAAAATTTTGGTTTTTCGATATAGATTCTTATCGCACATCTACAGGTATATATACCTCCAACTTCTAATCTACCATTACGTTCCATTATTGATGAAAATATTATAAATTCTTTATTTTGTTGACTTTTATGAATATCGATTGAGGTAAATAAATCAGTTGAAGAGGTATATTCGAATGAATAACTATTATTAACAAAATATAGTTTGACGTATTCAAAGTCTGTCGTTCGTAATAACTCATAACTCATATTTACTTCCTTTTGTGGTTCTGCATTTCTAATAATACTTGTAGATGGTGGACTTTCCGTTTCCAATATCATATTAAAACTACCCAATCTAAGATTATAATTTTTTTATCTGGTATGATTAACATTCTAAACCTATCTATATATTTTCCACTCGTTTTAATTTCATATAAGTGTTTATCCTTGCTGTTTTCGTCGTTAATTTCAAATTCTTTAGTTTCTACATTTTCTGTACCAATGATAAACTGAAGAACTTTACGAGCGTTAAATAATTGATTAATTAATGTTGCATCTTGTCTGAAGAATATTGATTCAACTTTTACCTGAAAAGGAAAAGTTATTTCAATTACAATTTTTCTTTTCCTCGGAAAGTAAAAGGTAATGGATGATTATCATAAAATATATTATGGCGAATAACAGTATTTGCTTCATATTCTCTAATATTTGCTTCATATTTTCTAATATTTGCTGTAAATCCATATTTTTTATATTCATACTCTCTTGATCTATCAATATTATCAGTAATAGAAGCATTTTTATTACTCAATCTTTCAAATGGAAGACTAAAATAATACGATTTATTTTCTTCCTTGAGATACTTTTTTTCTAATGCGACTATATTTTTGTCCTGTTTCAAAACTGGGTTATTAATAGTGGTTATCTGTTGTTGAATAACACTATCATCAATGTTTTGTATTTGTTGTTGAATATATGTTTTGATTTCGCTATCATCTATATTTTGTATTTGTTGTTGAATATAGGTTTTAATTCTGCTATCATATATGTTTTGTATTTGTTGTTTAATAGTTCTTTTTGTAATTCAGTGTTAAGTTTAGTTTCCAGAGCATTTAATTCCTGTTGAAACGTATCTTCATTTTCATCTGAAATGTTATCTATTAATTGTTCAATGTCTAATTTTTGTTTTGCAATCTTATCCTCTAATTTGGATATTAATAATTTTATATAATTTTGAATAAAACTTATTAAACCTTTTACCTCTTGTTGTAGTTTAGTATCATTAATAAAAAAATTATTATTTAGTTGACGTTTGAAATCTTTACACATTACTTATTTTATCTTCTAAATGGTTTTTATTTACTTCAATTGAATTTATTTGTTCCCGTAAATATTTCTTGTGAACAGCGTCATTATCGTTTTCCGGAGACTTTAAATTAGTTACTTTGAAATTGTTCATATCTAAATCACCTTGAAGAGTGTCTCCGATTTGATCCATTTCACTTTATTTATCCACGCCGTAGTGTTAGGTTTTTTAGTTTCTAAAGCTAAAGAACCCAAGCCAAACTTGTTCGCCATTTTTATTGAGTTAAATTTATTATGATTTCTTCGAATTGTTTTCCTAAACTCAACTGATATAAAACCCAAAGTAAAAGCTGTCCACAAACTTTTTGACCCGGTAATTGAATTTGAAATGTTGAACATTTGATTGGTTGATTAGTCAATTGCACTATCTCTTCAGTGGGTTCTAATCCATAAGAATCGAAGAAATAAAAGTCATTTGAAGAGTGTTTGTACAAAGAAGAATGATGAACTACTTTTTGATCGGAAGTATGTATATTTGTTATAGCGTAAAATTTACCTTTCTTATATTTCAGATCATTTATTTCATCTCTCATACAATAATAAAACGGTGATATATTTAACTCTTTCGCCCATCTCATAAGTTGAAAGTTTGTGGTTGTATCGGTTCCATATTTATCGAGAAAGATATTCATTTTTAAAAGTCGGTTTTTTGAAGTTCGTTTTGATAAAACCAACCTATAATTTGTTCTTTGTCTTGATCAATTAATTCATATGTCGGAGGTACTATGGTGTTTACTTTATCAAGGATGAATATTTCGTTTGTCCAGTATTCAACGTAGCCTTTTTCGAATTTGCTTTTATATTTGAAAATACGAACTCGATCTCCGACTTTAAATTTGGGTTTGATATTTAAATTCTTTATTTCATTTTCGTAGTTATGTTGTGCGTTAATCGACTTTATAATATTTGGATTACTCGAGATTCCGTGAACTTTTTGAATAATTTATTTTTTAGAGTTCTATTATATCTCTCAATAACTACAGCTTCGCCTTCATTATGCGTGCTGTAAATTTCAAATCCTAGAGATTTCATATTTTTGTTATAAAATTCACTTCCTTTATCTACCCACAGTTTTTCTGGATGTCGGTTAGATTGTTTCATAATCGTTTTAAATGCGTGTTTGACTGATAATTCCGTTTTGTTTTTCAAAGGAATAACCCAAGCATATATCGTATACAAATCTATCACTGTTAAGCAATATTTATATCCTCTTTCGACTGGCATATGAATTAAATCGGCTGACCATATTTCATCTTTTTCAAACACTTTAACTTTTAAAAAGTTTTTAGTTTTTCTAAATTCTTTGTGAATTTCATCCGCCAATCCCATGCCTAATTTCATCGTTGCTTTTAACAGTTTAATGATCAGAGCCCTTTGCATTCTGCCTTTGAAAGTTGGATTTGGAATATTTACAAGTTCGATTATCATTTGTCTGTCTGCTTCGTGTCTGAAGTTTATGTCTTTGTTTCTGTGTAGTATGTCGTGTTGAAGCGCAGCGGCGTCAACTCTATTGACTGGTTCTTCGCCGGGTTTGGGTTTATCGTTTTCGTCTAATCGCAGATCTAACCTGGTACCTGGACCGGTGTAATTATGACCGGGAAGATGTTTTTCTCCGGGATATTTCGCCCATGGAAATCCAGGAAGAGAACCCAGTGATTTTTGTATATCTGAACCGAAATAAATTTTTGGAGGGTGAGCGACAATCATTTTTATCCTATAACTTTAAAACCTTTTCCTTTCCTTTCTTCTAATCTCCTGTTACGCAGTTCTCTTATTAGTTGTAATTCGTTCAACTCGTCAGATTTTTTTACTGCGTCGCTTATACTCTTTCCCGCTTGCGCGATTGTGCCGACGGCTTTCGCTCCGGTTGAAATGAGTGATTTGTTGTTTAAAACAAAGCTAGCTACTTTTGGAATTATTGTTTTACCTAGAGAAATAATGAAGAAAAGATACCGTCGCCTGAATAACCTTCGAATCTGTGTTGTTCGTGTTTTAGAATTAAACTCATCCTATTTTTAAATGAGTTAATTTAACGAAAAAATTGTGTTTCCAAAAAAAGAGTCATCTCCCTTCTACTACAAATAACATTACTTAAAACGAGACTATTAAAAATGTTATGTTATTTTTATATAAGGGTATTTTTAATATGCTTTTTTTTTGATGGAATGTGGGAAATTGATAGAAGGTGTTTTTTTGGTGTAAGAAATGTAGGGAGTATAGGTGTAATAATTTATAGGGAGTTTAGGTCTTTTTTAGTGTAAGAATGTATGAAATGTAGGGTGTTTAGGTCTTTTTTGGGACGGAATTGATGGAATGTAGGGTGTTTAGGTCTTTTTTGGGAGCTTACAGATTGGTCCCATTTTCCCCATGAAATAAAATGGAATGGGGAATCCCCGTGCGACCAATCTGTAAGCTCTAGTACTACTAACAAAACGAACTAAAAGAAAAACTAAAACACTTCAACAAATGTAGAAAAACATGGAGTAGAATTGATTCTGTTTTCAAAACATTAAGCACAGTTCTAACAGTAGGGATAACGGTGGCAACAGCCGTAACCGGTGGATTAATGCTTCCAATAATTGTCCCAACTGTATAAGCCACGTTCACTGCCGTTCAAACTTCATCTTGTGGATTGATTATTTTAGGTTTTACATCAAAACAGAAATCTCATTATAAAAAAAACAGAAATTTTAAATACATATCTTGATAAATTGTTTATATTTTTCGAAGATCCAGAGAAGATGAAAACATTGAAGAATTAGAAAAATTCAATGAAATTTTAGATAAATTTGATGTAGAAATATCATCAATAAAAGTTAAAAATTCCTAGTTAAAAAATAGTTGCTTAAAAAATATGAATAAAATTAAAATTTTAGACGATGAAACATTCATATCAATATACTTTTTTCCAGTATTATTAACCTTGTCTCTGATAAATTTACAACATTTAAAGGGCAAATTGAATTAGATGGAGAGATAATTCAAGATGGAGGACACAAAAAAAATGGAATTTGTAGGCTTTAATGCCAAAACTTTCAATTTCTTCGCAACTGTGAATGTAGAATCGGATGCTTCTGATTGGTATTTCTCAGGAAAAATCATTTTACGTAGAAACAATTTCAAAGAAATAAAAAGATCAAAAAAGGGTAGTGGTGTTACCCTACTCAAACAGAATGTAGTGACGGTATAAATTGTTATATACCAAGCGATGGATACTGCTTTGTAAAGTGCGTAAATTATGTTTTGAACAAAGACTACACAAAAGAATTTCAAGATTTCATCAACACTTTTTTAATATCAAACAGAAAAGGAGTTATGACAACTGCTAGAATCTGTTAATTCACTAAGAAATTTAATACTTATTTTCAAATTTATATGCCCAAACATTTTCAACCAAAGAAAGTATCCGAGGAATTAGATTGGGTATTTTACTTACATAAATCACATTTCTGTCTCATTAGACGAAACAACAAAACCTTAGGCATTAAAGAAATAGAAGATAATTACGATGAAAACGTATGGAGAACTTGTAAAGATGATAATGCGGTAACACAAGTTTCACCTCTAAAACTAAACGTTTTTCCAACAATTCATGATGGTTGTTTATACGCATGGGATTGTGAAACCTATAGCGAAAACGAAACGAATAAAGCCATTCCTTATTCTTGCACGTTAATTAATTTAGAAAAACTAAGAAAAATGTTAGACAGAATAAAACATAACTTTCCACATTTAAATCCCACTGATAGTGTACCAGAAGAATTTTATAATAAATTAATGAATATAGTAGAAATATTTGTGGGTAAAGATTGCATCGATCAAATGTTGCAACGTTTAGGAAAAATAGATCAAAAAAGAATAACATTAATTTCTCATAACGGTAGCGGTTTTGATAACTGGATCGTGCTTAAAAATGCGAAAAAACTAACGCAGTTTAACTAATTCATGAATATTTACAGAAAAAATGAGAAAAGACAAAAACAAATAATGGGCAACTCTAATTATTTGCAAAATATTAATTTCATTATTATGTTCCTATTAACATGAAAAATCTAGTTTGGCGGCATGGGGAAATTCATCTAATCTACCGATGAATTTGAGAAAGATCACAGATATCAATATTGCAAAATACACCGAAGATAATTTGGAATCTTTAAGACACCAATGGGAATCTTACGCTAAAAGAGATACGTTATGTCTCGGAGCATGTTTGATAAAATATAACAAAGTTATGAAAGAAGTTATATTCCAGAATATTTTCAATAATCTAACGGCTCCTTTTTATCTTTAAAGGGGTGGTATTATTTATATCATTACAATAAAGAAATGGTAAAAGAAGAATGGTATGAAAGTACTAGAATGGTTCCGAAACACACCGAAAAAGAAAACGTAGAAAAAGTTTACTCACATACACACCCTTTTATAAGATATTTTATCAGACAATCCATTAAAGGAGGAAGAGTTTCGGCAAATCAAAAATCATTTTAAACGAATGAAATGGATGAAATTTGTAATGTATTAAAGGAGTTTAGTGAAACACCAAGTGATAATATAAATGATTTATTTAAAGAATATAGTAAAAGTAAAATGGATAAAACGGAAGTTAATTCAAAACTTAAAAAAATAAAATGTACTAAACTAATGGCCTTTGATGCTAACGGTTTATACGCTTCAGCAATGTCAGATTTAGACAGTGAATATCCTAAAGCGGAAAGTGCGAGAGCCTTTCAACCGAAAAAAGAAGAAGATGAATTTGTCAAGCTCTTTAATGAGCAGAAATTTAGACCTAGAACGGCTATTTTAAAAGTCAGGTTTGAATATCCTACTAACATGTTCTTCCAATCCATACAAGCTAAAGATAAAATTACTTATACGAACAAAGAAGGTAATAAGGAAACTTGCACTAAAATCAGGTTTAGAAATGGTTTCTGTTCAGACGTTTTAACATCGGTCGATATTCAAGAAATAGTTAAAGCCGGTGGACGAATTATTAGAATATTAGATGGTATAGTATACGAAGAAAATTTTAAAACTCCACCATATAGAGATTAAATCTTAATTTTGAGAGATCTAAGAAATAAATATAAACGAGAAGGTAATATCGTAGGTAGTAATTGTATGAAATTATTTAGCGCGAAAAGTTAAATATAATATCATTCTTACTTCCGACGGTATTCTAAAAGAATATTCAAGAAGAGAATGAAGAGTGTTAATTTTTTTGTTTTAAATGAAATTGAATAACAATTTCCTCGTTAACAAAATCTAGAAACCTATTTTTAAATATGTCGTTTGAAATAGTTTCTCTATAATTCTATATTCAATCGGTACAGTGAAAGTTGGAATACTGTAAATAATTTGACGTTTGTGTTTATTGAAAAATCCACCGTTTATCAAATTGCAATGTATATTTATCACATCGATATCATTCTCGATATTAGCTTTGTGTGGTGCTAATGTTGATTGTGTATATATTTGTTTATCAAAGCCCAGTAAAGTATTCAATGAATTTTCTACATTGAAATCAACTAGACTCTAATTCCTCAATATCAATTTTATTTTGTTCAGGTTCAAATTACCTAAATTCAATATTGTTTTTACCATATACACTTCCTCCATATTCAGATAGGTAATCGCTAATGGCTACGTATTCATAGCTTCCTGGTAGTAAACGTATGGTTTTGAATGTAACTCCATTATCAGCTGATATTTTTATTTGATTATTTTTTTCGTTGATATTTCTAATTGAATTGTAAACAGAGAACTACTTTAATCCCAATTCATATTCTTGTTTGCGATCGAGTTCGTACTCATAATCTAGAGACAATTTAATGTCTGACTTATTTGAGGTGATAACGAATAATTGTTCTTTTCAATCACGCTTTTATAATCTATAATACCTTTCTCTAGGAATCTTTTTAGTATACAATTTACTTAATTATATTGTATATGTGATCGATGTCCTTCCTTCATTGCCGCTAATATTACTCGTAATCTATTAAGTAGTTCCTCGTTGTTGTCGGATAAAAACGTTATACCTTGTCCAGATGCCACCATATCATCGAATTCGTCTATTTCTTGTATGATTGGATAATCTTCTGCATAATCATCTTCATATTCAAAATCTGCTTCATCAGGAATAAGTTTTTTATATATGTTTCAACTGCTTTCGATCTTCTTGATTCTGGTCCCGACTTTCTTATTGCTTGTAGAAATTTTGAGTATGCTTGTAAATCCTTGTAATCGGCAATGCCAATATACCCGCCATTCATTAAATCTATTAATCCTTTTGTTAATGTAAATATAAAGGCTTTTGTATCGATTTTGAATAAAGGGGAATTTGCCCTAAATTTTATTCTAAATCCATTAAACAATAACCCCTCATCATCAATGATTGGTGTAATACTCTTTGGTAAATCTGCTTTACGGTTTCAAAAAAAGACTATTAATATCATCTGATGTCCTAATTATAATACCACCATATTGATTTGGTTCCGGGTGATCTTTATGAAGTTCTATAGGAGGTCTATATTCTACAGCTAATTTCTTTTTTATATCCTCTTGAGATTTTAATATTGGTTGAAATAGAGTTTGTAGATTTTCTGTTAATCCAAGTTGTTCTAATTTGTTTTTTTTTTCAACTTTATTTTATTCTTAGCTTTGATATATTCTCTATTTCTTTTTAAAATATTATTCCAATCGCTACTCATTTTAAAAAAAATAAAATTAACATATGTCGATCATAACTCTTTCACCTGCAGGTTTTCTAGTATTAACAAATACATATCCATGATCATCTAAGTTTTTCCATTCAGCTTTACAAACCTTTTTAAATGCATCTCTGTCCATTCCGTGATTAATCGACTGACTGATTTGAGATAAATCTTTATCGTTTAATTCAATAATTTAATAATAAAAAACAAGTTGCATTTTTTTAATGAACATAGAATCCATCCCGTAAAAAGATTGGGATTGATATATGCAGTGACAGTTGTGATTCTTTCTTTCGTGAAGAATTCTTGTTGAACAGCTTGATTTCTTTGCGCTACACAGTCGTCAAACAATATTAAGTTCTTCCGATTGCTATCAATATTAGACAAGTCTAGATCATTAACATTTTTCGTAAGAAAAACTTTTATATCCGTTGGATTGAAAGATGGATTCTTTGATTTAATGAAGTTTTCTATGATATCTTTTATTTCCACATCTTCTTCGTTTTCTTCATAATACTGAAATATGTTTTGAACATCTTTCTTTGGTAAATATTCTAAAGCTTTGAGGAATTGATAATACGATTGCTCTGGTGTTGTTGTATAGATATACAGTGAATCGAAGTCTAAAAGGTTTGGTATTCTCAACATGTTAATAGTGAGATGAGTTTTCCCAGAACCGGGACTACTGCATATACACATGAGCATTGCGTTATTAGGAAATATTTCTGAATGTTTGAATTTCTTTCCCATTTTTTTTATTATTTTATTTTATTCCAAAAATCATTCCTTCTCCTTTATACTGTGAAAGAAATAATCCTCCTCCAGTGTGTATTTTTTTTAAAAATATTCCATTACCCTTATGTTTAACTTTGACTTCTCCTGTGTCAATACTATCTACTAATTTATTTAATCCTTGTTTAACAGTTTTCTTGGTTTCTTCCCCAAATCTTTTCCGAATTCTTTTATTGTACCTATCATATCTCCCACTCCTGAACCTCGTGCTTCCTTTTCCATAGCTAAATTTTGTCTGTTTTTCTTCAGTGGCTTTAGCATCAGCTGCTTTCTTTGCGTTGGCAGCTTTGACTGCGGCAGATATTCCACCAGTTGCTGCAACCGCCGCTGCAATACCACCAAATATTAAAGGTAGTAGGAAATTTTTTTTAAGTTTATATCGTCTATGACTTTACAATATTTGTATTTATCAATAAGTTTTTTAGTTATGCTGATTTTTTTACCATTGAAAGTTATTACAGTTGGGGAAGCTGTTGAAACGGCTTCTATTGTTTTCATAACTAAAATTTCTGGTTTCATTTTTAAAGGTGTATTTTTTACTCAACTCTTATCATTCTTCTATCTGCTATTTTAATTAAATGTTTTGTTTCTTAGAGTAGTAAACAATAACCGGTTACATCTCCTTCTGTTTTTTCAATATTAATATTTATGTTTAAATCAAAAATCGACCATATTGAAAGGCCTTATACTACTTACCATAAATTGACAAAGGATATTCTGTTTGGCAGCCTAAACTTTATTTGTATAAAACCCAGAGAGATAGCTGACCACAAAATTTATCTCCTGGGTTTTGAATTTGAAAAGTAGATCATTTTATTGGATAATAATTCAAACATATTTTTATAGTTTCTATACAATTCATTATAATCATTTGTGGTTGGATTAATTGTTAAAGGTTGGTTAGGATAATTATCGTTGTTTAATCTTACTTGATCTTTATGGATTAAAGGATCTTGAGTTTGGTTCATTGCTACTCTAAAGAAATTATTGTTATTCGTTTGAGAATCTGGTAAGTTCTTGAAACCAACCATTAAATATCTTGCTGGTTTAATAGTGTTAGTGATTGGCCATGTGGTGGATTCTCCAGTTAAAGTCATGCTACCTACCGTATTACGATGAAGAAAAGCTATTTCAATATCTTTAGTTAATGAGTTGAATATTCTCGTTTCTACTTCAATTGATGGTGTTATTACGGGTACGAAAAGTTGGAGATTCGTTATTTCTAATTTTGCATTTGAAGCATTCTCCCCAAAGAGTATCTTATCATCGTTGATTTCTCTTTGTAGATGAATTTTATATGGTAACCCTATGGAAACCTTTCGAACAGACCGAATAAAGTATATAATTTCCAATTTACGTAATTACCCCACCTATTATTCTCAACAACATTATTATACTGAATTACTCGTTTTTCGAATCCATGATTAGCTGTTCGTGCTACTCGTTCTATTGTGTTTCGAGCAACAACTCTCACTCTAGCTAAATCAGCATCATTTGCAAGATTTCTTACCGGTTCTTTTAAACACTTCTATCGCCAACATCGGGTATCCATCCTGAGACTGAATCGAAATCTTTAGGATATAAAACTGTTTTCAACATTGTGTCGAATTCCCCAGGGTGTTTAATTGTTTCTATCGGATTTGAACCAGCTTCCAAAACCATCTCGCTAAATAAAGATAGAAAGAAATTGTTTTGTATTTCATTGGGAGTCCCATCTTTTATTTTAAAATCGCATCTGAAATAAGTATCGGAAAAAAGCAACCAATTTGATATTGAATTTATTTCGAAGGTAATTCTACCACCATCATTCAATTGGGATTTAGAACCAACAGTCGGTGAGATGATAATATAATCCTCTTTTTTCTTGTTAAACGAATAACGAATCGGATCGTATAATCTAAAGATTGGATCTAGTATTTTATTTTCCATTTTTAAGGTTTAAAATTTGAGTAGAAAATTGTGGTCTGGTTTTTTTTCAAAAATATAGGGTGAATAGGTTTTTTTGGGTGGGGGTTGATGGAATGTAGGGTGTTTAGGTGTAAGAATTTATGAAATGTAGGGTGTATAGGTGTAAGAATTTATGTAATGTAGGGTATTTAGGGTTTTTTTGGGGCTTTTCAATATGGTCGCACTTTCCCCCATGGAATGAAATGGAATTGGGGAAAGTGCGACCATATTGAAAGGCCTTATACTACTTACCATAAATTGACAAAGGATATTCTGTTTGGCAGCCTAAACCTTATTTGTATAAAACCCAGGGAGATAGCTGACCACAAAATTTATCTCCTGGGTTTTGAATTCAAAACAATTATTTTTTTAGTTGGATCTGATCCATATGTATCAAAAAATACATTGACTCCCCATCGCCTTTGAACAAAGCAGAATGATGAACACCTTTTTGATCTGAAGCATGGATATTAGTTATATCGTAGAACTTTTTGTGATTTTTTAATGATGATATTTCATCGCGCATACAATAGAAAAAAGAGAGGGCTTATATAGGCATAAGCCTGTTCCCCAATCCATTTAATGTATTAATAAAATATTGTCTAAAAAAAAATAGAAAAAAGCCTTCACACCCAGATCTTCTGCCCATCGTATTAATTGCAAGTTCTTCACCGTGCAGATCTACTATCATATAGGATTTAAAAGCTTGTTGCATGAGAATAATTGCCGCGGAATCGAAAACTTCAAAGAATTATAATCCGTGCGAGAGTTGTATTAGTGTATTATAGACAGAGGATATTCTGTTTGTCAGTAATTAATCTTGATTTTAATTTAAGGGATTAACAAGGATTATCGACAAATGACCGGTGATTGCAGGGTGACGTGTGTAGTGTTAAGAAAATAGTGACCGCTGGCCGCGTCAAAAGGGTGTTGTTGAATAGAGGTAAATTTGGTTGAAAACTGCACGGGATGTATTTTTGGTGGCCGTTCATTAAAAGGTGGTGCTGAATACATGTGACCGTTAGACCAAGTTAGACTGTACATTGTAAGTTGGTGGTGAAGTATTATTAACTTTATCAATAATAAAAATATCATTCGTCCAATATCCATCGTAACCTTTTTCGAATTTACTTTTATATTTATAGATACGAACTCGATTTCCAACTTTAAATTTGGGTTTGATATTTAAATTCTCATTTCCAAAGTTCTTTTGTGTGTTAATTTACAATATGATATTGGGATTCTTTGAGGCTTGTGTAGTAGCCACACAGATAGATGAATGTATTTTGTTAATATATTCATCGACAACAATTGGTAATATCTTAAGCCTTTTTGGGAATTCAATTCTATGAACTTTTTGAATAATTTGTTTTTCAGAGTTTGACTGACACTCCTGATATGTTCTTTAACCATTCCTCGACACTTGAAAAAGGATAATATTTCGAAAACCGGTTCGTGTCAACGGCCCTGTCTTCCATCGACCTCTACCACCTACCAATCGCCGACCAGCTATATCTCACCCCATCGCCGACCTACCTACAACACCTACCAATCAAGAGGTAATCATCGACCTGACCAACAACAGAAACGACTACCAGCCCACCGACGCCTACCAGTCCCCACTCATAAGGAGGAAGAACCCTTTGTGAAGGTGTTCTTCCAAGTTTTGCAGTGCCTCCATCATTTGGCAATCCTTACCCTTCAACAGCAAGGCCAACCAGCGTTTACCTTCAAACGCAAAGTCTCTGAGTTGGATAGTTTTATCCGTCCAGCAATGAAAACATCAGCTGTTGACGCGAATATTAGATTCCTCAATCGGACATGGCTCTATAAGGTTACGCAGGTCCTGATGGACCATTACCAAACCACACTTCAAGAGAAGCTGACCACCATTCGTACAAAGTCTTTATCATCAGCTGCCGTCGACCGCATCGTTTCCCATGCCCTGTCCAGGGCCCGCCGCTCCTATGGGAAACGTCTCACTCAAGCTGTAATCACCAAGTTCTACCAAACAATCAACAAAACAAAAACCAGAGTAACCATATCTCTACCAACTGAAATGGACACTACACCTGCACCATCTAGAGCCACCACGCTGCCGAACCAAACCCCTAAACGAGCCCGAAGTTCACCTACTCCGAGTCCAGCAGACATAACGCTCTCGTAGAGAGGGCACTCCCCTTCTCTTTTCACTTTCAGACTCGTCTTCTCCTTCCACACCATCTGAATCTTCACCACGTGATCCAGGATCCGCCAACCTTTCTTCCTTCTGTGCGTTTTTGGACCAGCAAACCACCCCTCAGTCTCCATCCAAGTCGAGACGTATTTCCAGACCTCCCTCCCCCCCCCCCCTCGAACCAGATCTGAGTCCGTTCCCAATGCTACAATTCTAACAACTACCAAACCAGTACCAATCACACCGTCGACGACCATTATATCCGCTACCAAACCGTATTATCACCAAACCAAGGACAAATCATTATGGAAGCTACCCGCTCTAAAGAAATCTACCTTAATTATTACCAAAACACCAAAACCAGTTCAGACACTGAAATACATTCTTACCCCGGTGCCCAAATCCATCACATACAGTCAATCCTGGAATCATACGACCATGATCCCAAACCTACTACCATTATTCTTCATGTAGGCCTCAACAACCGTGATCTGCTACCAAAGACCTCCTTTAACCAAGCCCAGAAATTAATCGCCACAGCCAACAAAACCTTCCCAAACTCCAAGATCCTCTTCACATGTATACCCATTTCAAATAAAATCTCGAAGAAAGCACAACAGAACCTCAGCACTCTCAACAACATGATGATGGAGTCCAGTATCAACAGCGCAACAATCTTACCACCCTACGAAGAAGAATTCGAACCAGTTGATAATCTTCATTGGTCTCCAGAAACAGCAAACAGCATTCATTTGTTTTGGATACACCAGCCTCAAGCATCGAGTAAGTCTTTAAACTAATTACTGGGGATAAAAATACTGAGAGGCCACCGCTAGGCCAAACTGTAGTTAACTTGAGCCGCAAAATTCTCACACCCCTTCAGCATTCAATCTTAGACCGTGGACTTAAATTTATTCCCACACCAAAGACAGCTAACTTGAATTATCTCCGACCATCCATTGAACGATTTCAACGAAATCTTAGCTGCACATATTTTTTTCGAAACCACCCCCCACGTGGTGCTAGAACAATGTTTATTGCTAAATCCACGTGGACACCCCCTCAGGCCGCCATCCATCCTGAAATATTGAAATCATTTGCGAGTATGAATAGCCAAACAGTGAACCTTTCCATAACACACGAAAAGCCTAATCTCACACGAGTGGAACGTGAAGCGTTAAACGTACTTAAGAAAGACGATAGCATTGTTATTAAAAAGAGTGACAAAGGTTCATGTTGTGTCATTCTGAAAAGGGAGGATTACGTTACAGAAGCAGAGAATCAACTGAATAATCCTAAACATTATGCCATTTTACCGAAACCGATTTTCAAAGAAACTGCTTACATGATTAATAATATTCTTGCCGATTTAGTCAAAACTAGTTATCTCAAACAG